TGTAGAGACCTTTGTACATGAAAAGGTCACATTCACCTATGAGTAATAAACATAATCAGAAAGTTTGCTCACAGGAGAGCTCAAGCGGGTTCCAGCCTCTCAGTAGTTGAGAAAGAAAAGGCACTCCCAAAACACAAGATGGGACGTTTGAATGCGGGAGGAAAGAAACCTTAAACATTAACTCATAACTCAAAACCAAAGTGTTTGTGTAACTCCTTAAAACTTGAGTATCAAAGCTAAATCTGAGAATTTACCTTAAACAACAGGATGAGTAAGACGAAGCCAGAGGGGCTCTGGAAGATTCCTAATGTTAAAGCCTATGCTGTTGCTGTCAATTTTTCAGTGATTTCATGTACATACATGTATATTTCAATAACTTCCTATGATCACAGAAACATTTCCTTTACTGCTATCAAAGTCTTTAAAAAGCAGCAATTAACCATCACCTCACTGCGTGACGCTCAAGGGTCCTAACAGAAAGGGCAAAACCTCATGTCCTCTCCCAGTTACATAAAACAAATTCAAGAAACCTGAGGCCTAAAGCAACCTTCTACCTTCCCGGAGCATGGAAACGGGAGCGGAACCTGCCCGCGCCCCTCAGGCGTTTCTCCACGCGCTGAGGGGACGCGGCCACAGGGGCTCTTTCCCGTTTACACGACGCTGCTCGTCTCTTATCGCTCACGGGTCCGCCGTCCCCCTCCCGTCCCGCTCCCTTGTGTCCCGTCCCGTCCCAAGAAGCGGCCGTGGCGTCGCGGCAGCTGCCACGTGCCGCCGTGCGGGAGCGGGAGAGCGGCGGCTGGGTCCGGCCCGCCAGGCTCCGAGGCGCGGCCCCGCCAGGACCTGAGCTCCCACCAGCAGGGACCGAGTCGTCCCCGAGCCAGCCCCGCCGGCACGTCCCAGTCAGGGACCGGGTGGCCTTCCCGAAGGCGCCGTTTCAGCCGCCGCCCCTTCCCAGAGGCTTCGGCAGGGTCTCCCCCGTTCCCAACGCCGCGCCACAGAACCCCGCTGAGGAGAACCCCCATTGGGAGGGCCGCTGGAGAAGAAGCCGCCCGCCTGCCCCCTTAACCCGCCGGAATGTACTTACGAGCTCCATGTCCGACGGGGCCACGAAGCACCCTGCTCAGGGGCTGGCCTTGAGGTGACCCGAGCCAGCGGCAGCGTCCTCTCCTTTCCCCAGAGGGGCGGCCTTCTTCCCCTCATGATTTAACGCCCTCTGCCCCTGGCCGGGGGAGGGTGACAGGCTGATTGTCACCTGCGGCTGTCACCCCGCTGGGCGGCCCCGCTCCGCCCCGCCACACCTGGCACCGCTTTGCAGCCCCATCCCCGGCTGGAGGGGCCGCCACCCGCCTCGTCAGCTCCGCCGCTCCCTCAGCGCAGGCGAGCTCCCAACAGCTGCGGGCCGCCCCTGGAGCACGGGCCTGGCGACACCGCTGGGCCTCGAGCTCCCTCACGGTGGGCTCAGCGGTTCGGAGCCACTTTGGACCTGGAGGCTGCTTCTGGCTTGGAGGAGGTCACCGCCTGGGGATGGTGAGGAGCACGGTGCTTGCCTCCTCCGACACAGCGCTGAAAGGCGGTCTCTGGTGGGCACCGGCCACCTGTGGAGCAAGCTCCTCTGCAGCGCTGCTACCCACTGAGGGAAGATGCTCGGTCGCCTTTGACCAGAGGTGGCCTTTCCTGTCAGTCACTGCATCTGCTTGGGAAGAGTTTCATGAAAGGCCTGAATTTGACTTCTAAAATGGTGCAGAGTGTGAGTGACCGCATGCCAGCAAGTGAAGTTACATCAGTGTGAAACTGGGGCAAATGACAAGGGAACTAATCTTCTCTTTCAGAAGCTTCCCCAATGAAGGGGCCATCAGTGTGGTCAGGAAAAGTGAATAGTTTTCTGAATTTCTTTTACCTTTCAAAGAAGATACAGTCATTTAGAAATACTGACCCCAAGGTATGGATCGCTATACACATAAAAAAAGAGACTATTGAATATTCATTAGGTGCAATATACAAATTATAAATTTTGCATACCATATACATAGAACAAAGGGGGAAAATGTTCTTGCCAAAAATAAGTAGTATCTTTTTAACTAGGCTAAAAGGTTATTTTGCAGTTCTGGAAGATCAGTTTGCATGGCTATAGTTACACCTTTATAGTTTTATTAAATAATATATACTTCGCAAGGACCACTGTAAATGATTCCACAACATCAACAGGGGAATATAGTTAGATGCTCATATGGTGTAAAAAAATGTGAACCCTTTAATCACTTAGCACCTACTGCAATCTCATTGAGTCTTAGTGAAAACAGTAACTGAAGTCAACCAACTATCCATAGTTAATCACATGAGAAAGTGTTTACAGAATCAACTTACTAATCAGACAAAAATATTCAAATAATGAAACAAATCAAGCATATTACAGGTGGCAAACTGTGCATATAATATGAGGGGTTTGATATCTATATGTAGCTGCACAGAAATTCCTTAATGCCAGGTGTTATAATTATTCAGAAAGCAAACAGCTTTGAGGGAAAAAGTTGTATTGGTTTAATGCTACGAGCGAAGTTCCTACCACTCTTTATTTAGTCTTGTGCTAAAAATGTGGGAAATACACAACAGAAAAACATCTCTTAAATGAATCTTTTATAAATGTTTAGTATGTGATCATGAAATAGTGAAGTTCACTAAGCCATAATGTTTCTTCTTCAAGTAAATGGGCCTTTTCAAATTCAGAATATTTAAGATGCATGTGAATAATAGAGATCTTATAGACAACTCGTTGTACACACAGCTCTCCTGGTTTATGTCATGATCATCATGATTCTCAAACAGAATCAGAGAATCTTCAATTCTATAAACAGGAGTTTAAAGACTCATTATTTTCTTCTTTGAAATGAGTTGATGCTCTAAAAGCATAGTGCTGAAAGGCTGCCAAGCTAATAGTCCAGTGAGCACTAGGAAGAGATTAATTTTATACCTGGAATGAGTATATACAATTTCCATTCCATTTAGTGAAAGGGCTGGAATGTGACCTAGGGGTTCCTTCACGGTGCCGTGTTGTGTTAAACCCTGGAGTAAAGAGTTAGCCTCTACAAAAGAGAGAGTCTGAATTCAGGACTGTGACCATCTATGCATGTTATTGCACAAAATGTAAACCTAAGTGGGGTGTTTGAGATGCTTACTTGCATTTTTTTTTCCCCCACTATTTTGCTAAATACTGGTTCTGGTACTCTGAAATCGGTGTGAATATTTGGGAATGCAAATATGTTGTGAACACGTCTTTTTACTTCAAAACATGAACGGATTGAAATGGAGAGGTGTGTGCCATTTCCTCACCTGGAGAGCTCTGCCTGAGGTGTAGCCAGAGTTGTAATCTCCAAGTGTGTTCTTTCTGCTTTTTAAAGGATGTCTGTTCAATAAAAAGAGACAGAGTGAAGCCAAGGCAGTGGATCTACTTCCACAAACAAGGTTAGCCACCAGTAAGTAGCAGAGGAGATTCAGAGTTACAGACCGGTTTTGGAAACTTTACCTTTACAGGTTTTCAGAAAAGTTGTATTAAATTGTCTTTTGTTTTCCTGTTACTCACTGTTGACTGGGAAAACACATGAATGGATTTCTGTAAAAAAAAAAATCAGTGGGCCTATGTCATTATTAATCGCATGAAGGTTTTTGGTGCAATGCACATGGTCATATTACCAGGACCTGTGTATTGGGTCTTCTTATTGGGATTATTCAAATTAATGTCATTCAGTGTGAAGAAACATACATGGAAGATGACGTGCTCCCCATACCTTTTATAGGGGAGCTGGAGAAGAAGGCAAGCATTTCTTCCTTGGAGGAATTCAGTCTCTATTACTGAGTGAGAACAATGCTGAAGGAGGGATTTTTTTCCTAAGCAAAACTGTGAGTAAACTGTATTCCTGAAAAGTTGTCATTTTCTAACTGATGTTCTTGGTCAGAAGTAAATGGCATAGGACATCATGAATATTTGGAATGATCAGAATTAGCAAAAGCATTATCAGATTTGTTCCTTTATGTAGCATGTCATGTGAGATTCCTGTTCCAGACAGGAACATACTGAAGTAGGTGACCACACCTCAAATTTTTGTAAGAAGAGGCATTGAGTCACCTGCTTTGTCCAAGAAAATCTCCACAGGCAACGGTTACAGCTGGTTGATATAACAGATTCCTACACCTAGAGACTTACACAAGAATTGACTGTTAAATCAGGAAATTGATAAGCCAGGGAAGGTTCATTTAAAACTATTTGAGAGAATGGCTGGGCCTAGTGGAGTGCTTAATGTAACACTAAATTTCAAATGAATACCCAAACTTCATGGTTAATTTTTATATTTGTCTGAGGAAGAAATTTGAGGAACCTGTAGAAGGTTTTGTCAAGAATCACTTGGAATGTTTCTCAGTTGTGTAAAGGTTCATATTGAACAAAACTAAATACAAACCTGCATAAAGCACCCTTTTTTTCAGGCTCTTGGAACCTGACTAAACACAACTTTAAAGTAAAAACACATAGACATATAAAACTTAGGGCCAGAGGTTTCATTAGCCTGCATTGTCAAGTTCTCAAGTAACAGGGATCATCAACTTTTATTCTCACTTTTGCATTTAATTCATTAATACACTGCCACTGCAGACCCCAGCAGCCAAAGGGACATTCCAACTTCGGATGAAATTATTTTCTGACTCCCTTCACCCTCTGGTTATTTACTGTTCTCTAGCTGTGATGATTTCACTCCATCACAGTCACTCAGATGCTACTGCGCACTACATATGGTAGAAGCAATATTTGCTCATAATTTGTTTAGCACTGCATTAGGAAAATAAGTTGTACTTTTCTACTTTTCAGAAGAATAAAGGGTAGAGGAGTAGTTCTGTTGTGAATCAGTTAGTCTTGTCATGTAATACTTAATGTATTGTAGCTTCATAATAAACATGAGCTGTGGCATTTGATAAACAAAGCTTGTCAGTAATTTGCATTCTAAAATCTTTGGAAAATGCACCTAAGAGTAATCACAGTTCTGACCACTGGGGAAAAAAAACTTGATTTGTGCCAGCTGCACATTTTTGTTGAGCCATTAAAGAGTCTCCCTGCATGAATCTTTGGTAGAGGTAGGATTTTATCATGCATCGGTATGTAAGTTTAATAGAACAAACAGCATCTCAATTTATATGTATATATTTTTAGTTAAAAATTTGAGTAATGCCATGCTGACCTCATACAGCTGTGTTCTGCACTTTTGGTATTTTGGCTTACCGCAGCTTGTAGATAAGGACGCATGTCCAGCTGTAAAGAAATAAACAGTCTAATCATACTGCTGAAAATGATACGGTGCTGTTTCACTTCTGGTTCATCTTGTTTCCTCTTGTATCTTTATTGCGGGGTGAAGGTGCAAGGTTATGCTATCCTTCAGCCAAACAGCTGGTTAGGAATGCCATGCCAGCTGCAGAGTCTGTCTTAAACCAGCTGAGAGATTCTTCTGTCAGTGGGGCCATAAATGTGAGTGGCAATGGTGAAATCAGGAATTGCATGAAACAACAAATTCTTGATTTGTCGTTCTGGGGTTGGCAGTTGGATTGCTGCATCATATAGTGGACCATATAAAACACAGAAAAAAGGGAGCATAACGAAGTATTAATTAATTCTGCTTTTCATTAAGATGTATCAGTTTTGTGGGGACCAGGTCCACTGCTCTTTTCCTTCCTGCTGGTTCTCTCTGTAACAAATGTAGCAAGAAAAGAGTACTCTGGAATTTTGGTTTATTGGGTTATACAAAACAATTGAGACTCCTAGTGGGCTCCTCTCTCACTGCCAGGGCAGAGAGATGGCTCTTTCAGAACTGGCCAGTGGCCAGTGTAATTCCAGTGTTTAAAAAGAGGAAAGTTTGAGTCATTGTGACATAATAACTCATGTAACACTTTCGGAGGCTAATGAGGACTTTTCTGACTCTTACAGCTCAATAAGCAGCATATATCAAGACCTCATAAAGTATATCCTCTCCAGTCTTTAATAAAGATTTTTACCATGTGGAATTACAGACCAGTTAGGCTAATTTCATCTGTAGGAAAGATATCTGAAAGAGTTCTAGTAGATTAGGAGAAGGAGTATCTAGTAAAAGCATCCTTCAGCCTGATTAGTTGTATACACATGGTTTAGGAAAAAAGAAGTCATGCTTCACTAGCCTTCTGGAACTCTTTGAAGATAACACTGCCAAGATAGGGTATACCATGGACATTATATTTTTAGATTTTCAGGAGTCATTTGACAATGTTTTACCCAAGAGATTAATGCTTAAAGAGAGGGGAGTGAAGGGGTAAGAGAAAAGTTCACTCATTAAATTGAAAAGTAGGTCTAAGCAAGCACAATGAGGAGCTAAAAATGTCATTTTTACAGACGAGAGGAAAAAGAATATGTAAAGCTGCAGTACTTCTGTATATCAATTAACTTGTCTATATAAATGTCTTGGATGGCTGTACTTTTGTTTGAAACTTAAAATAGGCTCATTATCATCCATTTTTAGTGCTAAGAAGCCCTAACAGGATTTGCAATCCCAGTGTGCTGAGCACTGTCCCTGCTGAGACTGTATCTGCAGCCAAATAGACCCTGTAGAATAAAAGTAGAAGAAAGGAAGTGTTATTTTCCTGATAATGTAAAGGAGGTTCCAAGACCTGGGCAGACTTGATCCCAGCAACAGAGAAAAATCAGTAGACCTGATGGGTGAACATATTTTCTTAGTCATGAGACCAGATTTCTTGATTTGGAGATGATACTTCACAGGAAACAACAGTAAATTCCGAAGAACAGTGAAGTACTGAAAAGCAAATATTGCCAGCCCAACAAATGTGAGATGAATTTCCAAATAAATATACATTCTAACCAGAAAAGAGATATGAGTTTAATTGTAAAAATACGTATTTCAGCATAACTTATGCATCTGTAAGAAATGTAAATTTTATATATAAATTACTTAGAAAAACAGAGTTTGAAAAGTTATCTCTCCACGATGTAAAAAGAATCTTGCAAAAAATGGTGCAGCATTCCTAATTAAAACTTGCTTGGTTCAAATATAACTGTCTAAGTCAAAGCTGTGTCTTAATTATTTCTGTATCTCACAGTAAAGAACTGAGCTGCAAAAAGCACTTATTTTGTCCCACAGTATATAGATAATGGTACAGCACTGACAAATTGAGTGTGAGAAGCACTATGTCCACAACTTGGGTTTGAAATATTAAACTTTGCAAGATGTGAACTTGACCACACACATCAAAAGGGTGTTACAAGGTGCTGGCTGTGTCTCTCTATCCATCCACTTCCTAGCATGCTAACCCTAAAATCATAAGTGGTAGATGAAATTTTCAGAGGAATTGTCTATACTGTAAAACCCAAACAAATTAAAAAATGTTTTTTTTTAAACTAGAAATCTGTCTTGCATTCTTGCATGACTTTTACTATATGCTCAGTTTAAATACCCTGTTTTAAAAAACAAGACCCTACCCTTCTGCTTTGTTTTCAAGTGCTTAAGAATCCTGCCTGACTGCACTTCTGATACAGGATCCAAATTTACTCTTGCAAAGGAGACTTCATAAGACTTCAACATAGAAAATCCTGATTTACTGTTCTTGAAATAAATCAGATTCAGATCCGTTGTTTAAAAAAAATACTGCTCCTCTCTTCCAATTCTGTGTATCTTCCCCACACTTTACTAAGAGGTCTTGGAATGACTCAGTGCTCCTCTCTGCCTGTTTGCAGTCCCCTTGCTTGGTGCATATAGACACATAGCTGTGGGAAGCTGGGGTGGTAATTTGTAGGATTTGGTACTACGTGGTTAATGGTTGGGGTACGTGCTGTTATATCTCAGTAAACATAAAGTAATGTCAGGTAGTTTGCTGCTCAGTGAAAGCGACCTTGTACCCACAAAGGGAAAGCCATACACACATGAATAGCTGCCATGGATTAGGTAATGCACTGTAAATTCTTACCTTTTCTTACTTCACAGTTAATGCCTGGAAATAACTTGTTCTGGATGCTATGTGTAACTTGTTGAATGACTGAGTGATTGTAGGAACTAATCCATTCATTACCTAAAAGAGCTCTTCTTTAGCTGGAGTTGTTCAGGCTAAGGATTTAGATCTTAAAGACTGAGGCTCTAATCCTAGTTCTTTATCAATGCGATTAATATAATTATGTATGTTTGAGACCATCATATTCTTTATGTAAGATGACTGCAGTAGGGTCTTTTATAAGACTGATACAGACCTTAGCCATGCTTAGGTTGGACGTGCCACACCTCTTAGATGGCATAAATAGGTATCTAAGTTAGAAACGCTGCTCTGTGTGCTGTTATTGCTTGTGCTATGTCCTAAAGGAACATGAGTCAATCAATAATTAAGCCACAAAGTACTGCCTGTTGACATGGCAACATGTTCACAGATGTGACGTGAACTTAATGTCCTTCTTTCATGTCTCTTGTGAAAGTAAAAGTCTCCTAAGCTCAGTAACAAAGAATTGGAGCAGGCATTGCCAGGGAACAAGGAGAAAATGAAAAAAAATAGATTATTTCTTTTATAAAAATGGATGCCTTTGAACCTCTTTTCTCCCAAACCTACTGTTTAAAGTCTCTTTTTTTTTTTTTAATTTTTTATTTTTTATTACAAGGACCTTTCCCTAATCAAAAAATCCCCACTTGCTTATTGCCAAATAAGAAGTACAAAATGAATTTCCTTATGGATCATTTTAATGATTGCTTCTTTCCCATGTATTTCACCCCACCCACATTTTTTTAATGGAGCTGAAGTGAACACAACTCATGTAGATTACTTCTGTTTAGGCAAGACTCTGTCTAGCTCCAAGAATAATATTAGCTGCTGCACCACAGATCAAGGGTTGGCATGAAGCTCCAAATGTGAAGTTGTCATCATCACTTGATGCCTGTTGTTCTGAAGACGAAAGGAGCATGAGTTTGTGTGACATCAGCTTCCGTATGTTGGGATCATTTTTGCTGTTTCTGCAGCTTCTCTGCATGTGCTCCCACTCTCACATTCTCTCTGCTTGCCAGTTACCCTATTCTCCTCTTGGCTTGCATGTCTTTCTTCCAAGCTTTCTGCAGCAGATGTTAATAGGCCTCGCCAAGATGTTTTGTTTGCCACATGTGTTGCTACCTGTGTCACAATGGGTGAGGTTCTTTTTTCTTTTTTTCCAGGGCATCTTTTTACTTCTGCTTCAGTCGGTCTCTTGATCTTTCACACATTAAAAGTTTACTACACGTTTTTTCCTTTGGGAGCTTGGTGTCCTCCATGCAGAGGACATGTCCAGTCCAGCAAAACTACACTTTTATAAGATTGCTTCAACGCTGTTTGTGCAACCACTTTGCAGAACTTTGTTATTCATGATTTTATCTTGCCACTTGATATGCATAATAGCTTGAAGGTGCCGTTGATTAAATTTTTCCAATGCTTTGATGTACCAGTACTAGCATTTCCATGTTTCTCAGCTCTAGAGTGAGGTAAAAATTAGTACAGTGTACAAAAGCTAGGGTTTGGTCTTGATGTCTAATAGTATGCTAGTTCCAGATTTAATGAACCTAATTCTCCATCTCTGTCCATCTAAATATACAAAACCTCATTGATGTATAAAAGCCAACTGTTTTGAAACTCCTGTTAGGGAGAAACATTAGATGCGGAGAAACATTAGATGCAGGGTTTAAAGTTCTTATGTGTTATCCTCTCCCTTTAAGAAATCGGGGAACAGTTTTGATAGCTTGGATTTTATAAAAGTACAAATCTCAGCTGCAGGCTACTGCACAGCTGGGCAGTCTGAATGTTTGGTGGACCATGTGCCCTTTAGCAAGTATTAATTCTAACCTCACAGACATATGTGGAAAACTAATACACAAGTTCAGTGAAAAAAATGGAGTCAAGATTGCTGAGGCAGCAGGATGACCTCATCCTTCATCAAATATGGTCCCTTCTTTTCTCCTTCACTGTTTTCTTTCTAATGTATCTTCTTCAGTGTCCTCTGTGATTTCAGATCCATGAGCAGGTGAACTTTTACTTTTTAAACAAGAAACCTCTTTCTGCTTGTATCACTTTTCAGATCAGCTTTGATAACAAAACTGTACTCCAGCAATATACTTTGGATAAGGTTGGGAGTAATTCAAGAACTGCAGGTCCTTAACAGCATATTTGGATTTAGGTTTGGGTAAAATGTGTAGCGGAATGACATGTATGCTGTGCCCTTAAATAAATTGTTCACTGGCTGTGTTGCTTGAAAACTGACAGCCTTTAGGCAGTGCCTGAATACTACTTTGTATCATTTGAAAGGCAGGTTTGGCTGAGCTGGAGAAAAGGGTTCAAATCTCCATTTTAAAATACTGACATGGTTCTACTTCTGCTATTTTTATTTTCTGAACTATAGTATTCTAAGGCTCTTTACTCGGAATTCTTCTGTAAATTTTTAACACAAAAATCAGTCCATAGCCTTTATGATACATATAATTTACAAACAAAAGCTAGACATTTAATGGGATTTCTGCAGGCACATTATAATTATACCTGAACAATAGGCAACAGGGAAGGGAGTGATGGTAGCACCATTAGGAAAAGAGAAGCATGACTGCTACCTATGCAAGACTTAACTTGATGGGAACTGAGCTATTCCCATGGCAATTCAAAACACTGAAATTATACTGATTTAGTATTTGAGGCACAGTCATGACACCTTTACTTTTTTCTTTTCTTTTTTTCTCATTTTTGGTAGATCTTACTTGAAAAGTATCACATTGGCATAAGGTGGTCTCATTTCTGCAAGACATTTATCCCAGGCAATAAAATTAGAAAGATCAGCCCCTTACAAAAGGAATTAATATGTGCAGTACCTTTAGTTCACTCTCCAGCGCATGCATTTGTTTTAAAAAGGTACAGTAAATTATTGTATTATTGAATGCTTCCAAATCTCTTATAAGCTGTACTCTTTATTCTGTCCTTTATTACTTAGAGACTTTCATTAATTTTGCAAATTACAGTTTCTCTGTTTCATTCATGTGACTTTAATAGCCCCATCTGCTGGCTGAGCACCAGGTAAGAGAATTAGCACATACCTTTGAAGGTCTCTTGTTCTAACAGGGCTTCCATGAACTTGGTACTGAAATGTTTTTGGTTTTTTCCTAAGTGAGACAAAGACAGAAAAGTGGAAAACTGTGTTTTATAGTCACATATCATCTCACAATGCTGTGGCATTTATTTTGTGTTTACAAAGTTCTTGGTTTCTGCCAGTCTCAGTCTGCTTTGTTAATGATAAATATGCACTTTTGTTGTAGGATCTTAATATCTTAAGAGGCTGTTTGCTCTAGTGAAGAGGCATGAAAATGGAAGAAACATCTGATTAAGTGTTGATGGCAATGCTTACTGAAAAATGAACTAAGCAAAGATTTGCTTTCAGACACAGTGCATCAGTAGCACTGAGACTGTGTTGTGTTATGCAGAATTTATCTTAAAGCAACTCTTCCCTAGGCATCCATTTCTGTTGAAGATAGGATACAGGGCAGGATAGACTCTTGCTGCGGCTCAGTAGGCTCATTTTCATGTTCTAATGTCTTTTTAATGGAAATAGATGCCACAAATCTCTCAGAAATAATGGTGGGGAGGGCCTTGATTCATCCTCTCATTCTTTAATGAAACTATGCTGCACTGCTTTTTGCAGTCAAGCTTCTGATGTTATGTATACAGTCATGGTCTTTTTGCAATCAAAGCTTCTGATGTTATGTGTACAGCCATGGTATCACTCTTTCTACATGGATGTAAAGGAGTAGATTACAGGATAGCTAAGAAGTATGAACATGCGTTTCTTGTGCATCATTGAAACTAAACACAAATTTGGTATAGCATCTGCAGATTGCCCTGAAGAAGTATTCCGACTATAAATCTATGATGTATCTATGTAGTGATACAGCAAAAGCACATGAATAGACTTTAATGTATTAAAGAATTAAAAAATATATATAAACATATGCTCTACAAAAACTGATAAAAAACAATGTTGGGAGAGAACGTTTGTTGGAGGGGTGTCCCAGGATGCAGATATCTGACTGTGGGCACAGAAGAAAGAAAAACTTGAGGGGGAAGGGAAGAGGATTAATGAATGAACCTTTGCTACAGTCAATAAGAGAATCTGAACTGCATTATAATTTCTGATGCTGTCCATTGCAGTAAAGATCACCTTAATTGTTTTACAATGTGTACCAAAGAAAACTTTTGCTAAATAAGAGGAATCTACCTTTTGCTCAAGTTTATTCCAGTGACTCAAGACAGAGATAATGATTTCATAGAGTTTAAACAAGCACTAACAGAAAAATAAGTTGCCACAGCCATCCCATCACTCTGTGGATTCTGGTCTGGTAAAACACTGGGATGT